GAAGGCTGAGGTGGAAGGATCGCCAGAGCCCAGCAGGTCAAGGCTGTGGTGGCCGGGAACGGCCACTACACTCCAGTCTGGGGAACTGAGTGAGACTCCAACTCAAAAAAAAAAAAAAAAAAAAGAAATATAGAGAATGGACTAAGTTATATAGTAGAAAAGCCCAATTCCTTCCCTGTTCTAATGTGATCTGGGTTAAAAATATAAAAATCTCTTTGATTATATAATCACAAAATCAGTTTTCTATTCATTAATTTTATAATCCAACAGCTCTACCTCTTAGAAATGGAAGGTCCTAAATAGATGATTAGTCCTAAACTGTCCCCTATATAGTATTCTCTCTATGAATTAACCAGCCGATATTCTGTTTATAAACTTTTTTTTTTTTTACTTCTGATTAGCAAAAGGTAATTTCCAAAAAACTAGGTCACTGATCACTGAAAATTTCAGAACTTAAAGCTCATTTACAAAAATATATTCTGATGCTACAAATACAACTTTTGTTTTTTAATAAAAATCATCATAATCCCCTCATATTAATAGGTACTTATGGCTTACTGTCTGCTTTCAACATTCATTATCTCATCTGAGTATTTCCACAATCCTAGAAGAAAGGCATTAAAAATAAAAATAACCATTTTTCATTGTCCTAAAAATGCAGAAAAACAAAAATAAAAATACCATAATTCCACAAAGTATAAGTGACTTGATGTACATACTTCTTAACCTTTCTATTGTTAGTTTTATAAAAATAGCATCATATTACACACATTATTTTGTAGATTGCTTTTTTCTTTTTTGACATATCAGGATCTGTTCTTGCAACTAAATATTCACCCACAACATTACATTTAACAGATTAAGTGCATCCCATTGTATACATATAGCACAGATCTTTCTAAATCAATCCATTAGGCCCGGCTCAGTGGCTCAGCCTGTAATCCTAGCATTTTGGAGGCGGAAGCTAGTGGACTGCCTGAGCCCATGGGTTCGAGACCAGCCTGGGCAACTTGGCGAGACCTCATCTCTACAATAAATCAAAAATTAGCCAGGCGTGGTAGTGCATCCCTGTAGTTCTGGCTACTTGAAAGGCTAAGGAGGAAGGATCACCAGAGCCCAGCGGGTCAACACTAGGGTGGCTGTGAGTGTGCCACTGCCCTCCAGCCTGGGCAACAGAGTGAGAATCCAACTCAAAAAAATAAAAAACAAAAATAAAAATAAAATAAAATAAATCCATTAAGCCTACTTGACAGAAAAGGTTAACCTCAGAGAGGTAAAGCCATACAATAGGGCAATAGGGCAAGATCTGTGAACTATAACCTTGGCTTTCTGATTGCCAATAGTATTCTATCCACGGTAGTTTCCGAAAGGACTGAAATATACCCAATACCTTCTGACAAAACAGCCACTAGACTGAATAAGGTCTGATACACGTACCCAACCACATCCGAATGATGCTCATATAGTCTTTATTCTTGGCTGAGAGAAGTTTGTCATAGGAAGGGCAGCCCGCCAAAAGGATGCGATCGTGGTCCTCACACATGGATATCAGGTGCTGCTCTGCACTTCGGGTGCAGCACACATGATAATGAGCCAGTTTTGTTATGGCGTGTCTGATAGAATCATCGATGGTCCCACTGACTTCCCCACCTTCAATGTGAAGGATTCGAATGTTCATCAAGGCAGCAGATGTAGCCAGAGCCAGGGCATCAAACCTGTCTCCATGAACAATCATGATATCAGGCTTCAGGCGATTAAGGACATCTGGTAGCTTCACTAGGGCCAGGCCTACTGACTCCACCATGGCTGCCTCATCTTCCCCCCTAACGATCGTGTGTAGCCTGGTGTTAATGTCAAAGTCATCTTGCTCAATCATGCGATACGTATTCCTAAAGCAGGAGAGAAATAAAGATGTGAGAGCATGTTCTTCATAACATACAAGAATAGCAATCTAACACAAACCCTGAAGGGAGAAGCAGTTTAAAAATTGTACTTGTTAAGCCGGGCTCGGTGGCTCAGCCTGTAATCCCGCGCCTTTGGGAGGCTGAGGTGAGTGGATTGCCTGAGCCTGCGGGTTCGAGACCCGCCTGGGCAGCGAGACCTCATCTCTACAATAAATCAAAAAATCAGTCGGGCGTGGTAGTGCATGCCTGTAATTCCAGCTACTCGGAAGGCTGAGGCGGAAGGATCACCGGAGCCCAGCAGGCAAGGCTGCAGTGGCCGGGAGCGGCCACTGCACTCTGGTCTGGGCGACCGAGTGAGACTCCAACTCAAAAAAAAAAAAAAAATTTGTACTTGTTAAAGTAAATAAATTAAAATATAACTTACACACAAAAATAAAGAGCACAGGCCATAGTATCTACAGTCTTATAATTATTTTTACATGAATATCCCTGCAGTCACCACCCAGATTAAGATACAACACATCTAGCACATGCCGCCTCCCAGTCCTGAAGGGAGAAACATCTGAGGTAGAATTTTTAAAAGGAAGATTAAGCCCTACAAGAAAGGAAGAAAGAGATCAAACTTTTAACAGTAGTAAGGATGTTTTTCTTTTTTTAAAATCAGTTTATTTTTTAAAAAGAAATATGCACTTAGGAAAAAGTATTATGAAAGCAAAGTTCATTTTTCTCTACAAAAAAATAAAGTAGCAGGGAACTAGGATGCCTAACATGCCACTATACCATGGAGATTATCTCCTGAATTCTCTTTGTACGGTACCAGTAATGCAAGCATAATCCTGTTTGGAATGAGAAAGTTCTTACAAAATTAAAGTGGTTGTGAAATGCAGTTTCAAAACTGCATCATACTTCAATAACAGCAGCAACCCTCAATGCCTTAACATTTCCTGTTATGACTAATTTTTAGAGATAGGTCTTTTTTTTCTAAATATGTAGTAAATGTTTACTATTTAAAAATTGGAAAATATAGAAAACTATTCTCCACAAACCTACCATTCAGCAATAGCAAGCATTATCATTTTTATTTATCTGTAGCTTTTTAAATGCAAATATTCTAACATATTTGAGAAAATACTGTACATGGAGAACCCCCAAAAAACCCAGGAATTATCTCTTGGAGGGGGGCCCCTTACAGTACACTCAGAATTTGTTCCTCCTGATCAGTCAACCAAAGTTTTTATTTGGAAGTTTTGAGAAGGCTGTGTCATGATTTGCAGAAGAAACATACTGAGCCGTGGTAAACAGGTTCTTCCACTTGGACAATGCTCCTGCCCACACTGTGCGGAGTGTCCAGCAGTTTTTGACCGAAAACGGTATGGCCCCCATGCCCCACCCTCCCTGTTCACCCGATCTCACTCATTACCGTGAGCAACTTTTTTTGTTTCCTTGGATAAAGAAAGTCCTCAAAGGGAAACATTTTGCTGATGTGGAAGAGGTGAAACAAAAAATGGCAGAAGCACGAAAAGGCACCAAAATCAACGAATTCAAACACTGTTGTGAGCAGTGGAAAAAGCATCTCAACAGGTGTACTGCATCAAACGGAGAGTACTTTGAAGGTGACTGAAGTTTACACGTGTGAGAATAAGTACACACTTTTTTATAAATAAATACCGGGGCTTTGTGGAGTGAAGCCATCTTTGTGGGAAATTAATTTTACTATAAGTGTTTGATAATTAATTCAATTTCTTTAATAGATATTGGGCTATTAAGATTTCCTTTTTTCGATTTTTTAAATTGATATACCATAGCTATACATATTTTGGGGATCTATGTCATATTGTGATGCATGTATACAATGTGTAATGATCAAATCAGAGTAACTGGAATATCCATCACCTCAAACATTTATCTTTTGTGGTAGGAACATTACAATTCTTTTTTTGTTTGTTTTTTTTTTTGAGTCATAGTCTCACTTTGTCACGCAGGCTAGAATGGAGTGCAGTGGTACGTTCACGCCCACTGCAGTCTCAATCTGCTGGGCTCAGGCAATTCTACCACCTCAGCCTTCCATGTAACTGGAACTACAGGTGCGTACACCACACCCAGCTAACTTTTTAATTTTATTGTAGAGACAAGGTCTCACCAAGTTGCCCAGGCTGGTCTTGAACCCCTGGACTCAGGCAATCCTCTCGCCTCAGCCTCCCAAAGTGCTGGGATTACTAGCTTGAGCCACCGTGCCCAGCCTTGTAATTCTTTCCTAGCTATTCTGAAAATACAATAAATTCTTGTTAAATAGAATTTCCCTACTGTATTATTTAATATTAGAACTTATTCCTTCCATGTAACTGTATTTTTGTACTCATTCACCAACTTCTGTATCAGTTTTGGTAAGCAGTGTTTTTTCAAGAAATTTGTCTATTTCATCTAAATTTTCATATTTATTGGCATAATGTTCCCCTTTTAATGTCTGTAGGGTCAGTAGTGATAATCCTCTTTGTCATTCCTACATGGTAATTTCTGTTCTCTTTTTTTCTTGTGTATTGCTAGGAGTTTGTCAATTTTATTAAAATTTTAATTTTTTTTTCCAATTTTTTGGAACTCTTTTTCTGGAATGGCCATCAGAGCTTTCTTTCATTTTTTTTTTTTTAAGTTGGAGTCTCACTCTGTCGTCCAGGCTGGAATGCAGTGGCACATTCATGGCCACCGCAGCCTCAACCTGCTGGGCTCAGGTGATCCTTCTGCCTGAGCCACCGCACCCAGTCATTTATTAATATTTTCAAAGAATTAACTTTAGACTGTTAATTTTCTCTTTTATGTTTTTATATTTCATTTATATCTTTTTTTTATTTTGTTGATTTCTACTCTTTATTATTTCCTTTCTTCTATTAATTTGGGTTAAATTTTTTCATCTTTTTCTTATTCATTAGATAGAAAGAGAGATCACTGACTCCAAACTTATCTTTTTAAATATAAGCATTTAAAACTATAAATTTTTCCCTACATGCAGCTTCATCTGTAGCCCACACATTTCAATGTTTTAATAATTATTATTCAGGTCAAAATATTTTCTGGGCCAGGCGTGGGTGACTCACGCCTATAATCCTAGCACTTTGGGAGGCCCAGGTGAGAGGATTGCCTAAGCCCATGGGTTTGAGACCAGCCTGGGCGACTTGGCAAGGCCTCATCGCTACAATAAGTCAAAACTTAGCCAGGTGTGGTGGTGCATGCCTGTAGTTCCAGCTACTTGGAAGGCTGAGAGAGAAGGATCACCTGAGTCCAGCAGGTCAAGGCTTCAGTGGCCGTGAGTATGCCTCTGCACTCCAGCCTGGGCAACAGTGAGACTCCAACTAAGAAAAAAAAAAAAAAATTTTTTTCCCTAATTTTCCTTATGATTTCTTGTTTGACCCATGGTTATTGAGTATAGTGTTTGATTTCCAAATATTTGGAGCTTTTCTAGTTATCTTTTTGTTATTAATTTCCAATTTAATTACTGTGACCAGATAACACATTCTCTAATATTTCTGAAGTTTATTGAGTCTTCTAAAATGTATTCAGACTTAAACTAGTGGCCCAGGATATGCTCTATCTTGGTGAACACTCAATGCATTTTTTTTTAAATGTGCATTTTTCAGTAATTGGGTATAGTGATCTATAAAAGTTAAGGTGATTATTTTGCTTCAAACTTCTGTATCCTTGGGGATTTTCTAGTTATTTGTTATATCAATTCCTGAGAAGGGGAGTTAAAAATCTCCAACTATGATTGCAGGTTTGTCTGTTTCTCTCTTTAATTCCCTCAGATTTTGCTTCATGTACTGTAAAACTCTGTTATTAGATGCCTACATATTTAGGATTGTTATACCTTCCTAATGAATTATTATTCATCATTTCAGTATCTATAGGAGTGGCAGTCCCTCTTTGTCTCTAATATCATTGAATTAAAATCTACTTTGTCTGGTAGAAACCCAATCACACCCACTCTCTTATGCTTACTGTTGGCATAGTATATATTTTTCATTTCTTTACTTTTAAATCTACTTGTCTTTATATTTACACTATCTCTGCTGGTAGACAGCATATTGCTTTTCTACCTTGTCTGACAATCATTGCCTTTTAATTGGAGAAATTAATTTATTTATATTTAACGTAATAATTGATATGCCTGGGGCTAGACCTACCATTTTGCCATTTGTTTCCTATTTGTCCATCTGTATTTTGTTGTGATTGTTCCTCTGTTCCTACTTGGATGAACAGATTATTTCTTAGTAGTCTATTTTACTTCCTCAATTGGACCTTTTATTTATACATTTTTTGTGGTTGTTTTAGGGAAATGAATACTTATCAGTTAACTTTGAATTATTATCACATCACTTGATGCTTATTAGCCTTAAAACAGTATACTTCCCCCATTCTTTGTGCTGCTTTTGTCATATATTTTAAATCTACTTACATTACAAAACTCACAATGTTTTAATTTTTGCACAAAGTTTATTTTTACAATAAATTTTTAGAAATATAGGAGAATAGAAAAGGTATTTTTTTATATTTACCCCCCAGGATACACCACTACCATATGATTAATGCTGTTCTCCCCCTTCCTTAGGATTTGTTGAATCTGATCAAATCAAAATTATGATAAGAAGTTCTGTCTACCTGGTCACTCTACATGCTCTGTTCAGAATCTCCATCTCTTCCAAAGCTAGAATCATGTCAGGGGCTGTTTTTCCTGTTGCCGGAGAAGGTCGGCCATGTTCAAGAACCCTTGAGTGTTTTGTTCTACTTTTTTATTGCATCCTGATAGAGGCTCCATAAAATATCTTCTGTCCTGTTTTGGAAGTCAAAACATTTCACAGATGTAGTAGGTCTCTGAATAGTCACAGATGTGTATGGTCCTGCAGACCATAGGATTCTCACCCTTTGCTTAAACTGCTGATAACTAAAGCTGATCTTTCAATGATGTCATTCTTATCAGTGGATGCCTCTGTTCTCTC